GCAGGTCGAGGCTGCGGTGGCCAGGAGCGGCCACTGCACTCCAGTCTGGGCGACCGAGTGAGACTCCAACTCAAAAAAAAAAAAAAAAAATTAAGTATTGCAGATGTTATTTATACCACTTCATTATTCTTTCCTTTTTCATGGCATAGAATTTAAAGGGAAAAACCCTGAGAAAAGACTATACTTGGCCAGGTGCAGTGGCTCATGCCTGTAATCCCAGCACTTTGGTAGGCAGAGGAGAGAGGATTGCCTGAGCCCATGAACTCGAGACCAGCCTGGGCAACTTAGCGAGACCTCATCTCTACAATAAATCAGGAAATTAGCTGGCTGTGGTGGTGCCTGTAGTTCCAGCTACTTGGAAGGCTGAGGCAGAAGGATTGCCTGAGCCCAGCAGGTCGAGACTGTGGTGGCCGTGAATGTGCCACTGCACTCCAGTCTGGGAGGTAGAGTGAGACTCCGACACCAAAAAAAAAAGACTGTATACTTTATAAAATGTTAAAATAAATACCTCTGATGGCAAATGACAGAACATGTTCACTTAGTTATTAATGGAGTTATTAATGGATTTTTTTTTTTTTTAAGATCCCTGATAAACTTAGTTTTCTAGACCTTGAAAATGCCAGAATACTTAGAAATTCAGCTGTTGACTACAAATTCAATTCAAATGATTTTTTTCTAAATTCATTTAAATAGAATTTAAGATGTTCTTATGGAGGTAACTGAATAATTACAATATTTTGGATATTAACTATTTAAAAGATAGGTGTCAGAATAATTTCAAAATTAAATGGTTTAGAAAATATGTTTAAGGCCCATATTAAGGTGGTATCTTTGTTATTAAAGACAATAGCAGACATGATAGCCATATGAAAACTGTATACCTGTGCAGTCATCAACAGTTATAAAATGGTTAGTACTCAGAAAATATTGAAGAATTCTGATATTTAAAAAATTGTAAATGTGTACAGATGTTTTAAATATTGTTTTTATTGCAATAATAACTGTATAGTCTTTCTTTGCATTAGCTAAAACCACAAAATGAAATAGACTTCTAAGATCACTTAGTTTGCCTTAATTCAGTCTTAATTTTTAGTGTTATTACTATTTTTCAAAAATGACAGAATTTGTAATATCTGAATCTCATATAGTTTATGTTTCTTTGGTTATTATCTCATAGTTCCCTTTCAAAGCCTCATTTTGAAAGCTTATTTACCAGTCAACCCTATTATAGTCTCTTTACTTTTAAAATAATGCAGCACTAACCATCTGGTATGGAAACCGAAGGAAGAAGAGAATTATCCATGGAAATAGAGAAGAATAAACAGACAATGTTTTTAGATGTAATTTGATATCACAGATTTATACCTTTCAGTCTTCAGATTTTCCTCCTGGCGTTTTCCTGTGATTAAGTATGTATTTGGAGAACAGTAAACAGGTCCATATGGCTGGATCATAAGATGTCTGTAGGAGAATAGCAGGAGATAAGGCTGGAGAAGATCTAGAAAATCAAGGTCCTTCCATGCCCTGCCAAGAAATGTGAACCTTGTCCTGAATCTGCAGTACGCTTTTGCAGGACCTAAAGAAGGGAGATGACAGTAGTACCTTTTAGATTAGATCAGTCTGGTGATGTGGCAGAGGGTAAGTTGGAGTAGGAAGTGACAGAAGAGGGAGACACCCATTAGAGGAAGCCTTAGCCTAATTAACATGAATGATTAAGCCTGGACTGACACAGCGGCAGTACTGTTGCAGAGAAAGGGATCAGTTGGAGAGAGACGTTAGAGGTAGAAGCTATCAGACGTAGTGTCTTTAGATGTAGGGAATGAATGAGAAGGAAAAGACTAGAAAGATCCCTGGTTCTCTTCCTTGGGTGGTTGGATGGAAGGCAGAGCAAGGCTCTACAGGAAGGAGGAGTATGTGAGGGATTTTAGACATCCAAATAGATTGAGAGTAGCAGAAAGCTTGGAGAGCAAGCTTAGAAAGAAGCCCATTAAAATTATTGAACAGCCAGAGTAGGAGGAGGCATATTTGAATGAAAAGCCAGAAGGGAGATGAATTTCAGGAAAAAAACAATGCCAAATGCTGCCAAGATTCAAAATAAGGAGAGAAAAGTGTACTTTGAATTTGGCAGTCTGAGCTATTCATAGTAGTTTCTGTCTAATGGTGGGGTAGAAGCCAGACTGTAGAGGATGAAAAATGAATGGAGACAGTAAGTAGACCACTACTTATTACACACTATACAAGGTTATTTATAAAATATGTGGCTATATTGGAAAGGAGAGAAGCATCGGTTGGTTAGAGAAGAGAATGTGGGCTCAAAGGAACGAGGGTTTTCTATTTTTTAAGATAAAATTTCAGGCATACGGAAGAAATCCACTAGAGGAGAAATCGATAGTACTGAATAAAAAAGAGAGAGAATGATTTATAGAGCAAGATATTTGAAGACCAAAAAAGTTTCTAGGGTAAGAAGTACTACATAGGAGGAAATTCTGCTACTGAGACCAGAATCCTTCCTTATAATGCTGTAAAATATATATTTATAGATACAGATACAGATATATTGAGGCCAATTTGAATTTAACATCTGAGTTTAAATTAAATATTAGTATTATAAGGGATTGGTTTTGATTTGGGAAATTGTTTCAAGTTTTTAGAAATCCTATATTTGCATTAAAGCAATACCAAATTTATAATTAAAAGCAGGCTATAACATACATAGAAATGTGTTATGAATATATTTAAGGAGATATTTATCAAAATATCAATGCATGGAGGCATATAGATGTCTCTAGCTGGGCATGGTGGCTCATGCCTCTATTCCCAGCACTTTGGGAGGCAGAGGCGAGAGCCCAAGGGTTTGAGACCATCCTGGGCAACTTGGCCAGACCTCATCTCTACAATAAATAAATAAATAAAAAGCCAAATGTGGTGGCAGGAACCTATAGTTCCAGCAATTCAGAAGGCTGAGTTGGAAGGATTGCCTTAGCACAGCAATAATCATGCCACTGCACTTTAGCCTGACTGACTGAGTGAGACTCTGACTCAAAAAAAACCCAAAAACAGAACACATAGATATCCCTAAAGAAGTCTTTAAAATACTGTTTTAGATTTCAAGAGCATGTAGAATAGACAGACATAGAATAGATTAAATACTGAAGTAAATCTTGTGTGCATGGAGGAGAAAATCAGAAATTTATTTGCTTAAAGGGAAAGAACATGGTCAGCTCTCAAGTGTAGTTTGAATAAAGAAAGTTTTAAAAATCACTTGCTTTTTCTTTTTCTTAGAGAAAAGTGAAAGCAGCCTTAAGTACATTAGGAATCTTATTTTTGAACATTTTTATTTGAATTGTTTTATTTTCATGTTTGCATGCTGAGTGAAAAGAATCATTAGAATTTCTTTTTTGTATATAATAAATTCAGGTTTTCATACTTTTAATGACTTTATAAAATAAAATATTTATCAGATAAGAAATGTTTGTTCTCCTTAGCCTCTTTAATATTACATTTTAAAATATTAAGCTTGCTGTTACTTGCTCATAATATCTTGAACAAAAATAGGCATGAGATTTTAATTCATCTGTAACTAAATAATTCCCATTCAATGTCTAGCATTATGAGAAAGCAAATATTACATCTTCCCGGAAATGATGAACTATGTCTTTCAACAGTTTGATCACATCTAACAGTTGCCTTGCACAGAGAGTATTTGTCCCTATCACATCCTGGCAGATTGCTGTCTCCACAGTGCTCCTAGACTGAACAAGTAGAGATCTGACAGGGATGAGTACTGTTGGTTGGACCTTTCCAGACCCAGCCCAACCCTTGAGCACTTCTAGCCTGGATATGAAAGACTGGGGAGGAAATTGGGATTATAGAGGCTAAAACTTCACAGAAGGATTGGGCTGGTAGAAGAAGATAAATATGAGTTGAAGCTCATTTGTAAACACTTTAAAAATATTATTTTAAATGTTTATGGATTGTACTAAATGAGAGTTCACATTTTCTCTCTTAAGGCCTAAGCCCTCTATGTCTAGGTGGTTTGTTGTTGTTGTTGTTTTCCCCCCTACTCAGAGTCTCACTCTCTCGCCCAGGCTGAAGTGCAGTGGCATGCTCATGGCCACCGTAACCTCAAGCTGCTGGACTCAGGTGATCCTTCCACCTCAGCCTCCCAAGTAGTGGAACTGCAGGCATGCGTCATCACACCCAACTCATTTTTCTTGATTTATTGTAGAGATGAGGTCTCGCCAAGTTGCCCAAGCTGGTCTTGAACCCCTGGGCTCAGGCAATTCCCTCACCTCAGCCTCCCAAAGTGCTGACATTATAGGCGTGAGCCACCACGCCCGGCCTGCCTAGGAATTTTTAAGGGCTTGCAGATATATGTATAGAATCATTTTCAAAAATTAAATACTTAGAAACTCTAATAATCTTTACTAAAACTGTGCTTATTCAAAACATGGGCCTTTAAAAATCTGCACTATAAAAGCAGTACTCTTAAATTATTTTTTGAGAGAAATTACAATAAATTGAGCTCAGGCCAGTATATTTTTGGCTCAAGCGTTAATCTCCAAATTATCTTGTCTGTATGTCAGTTTGGGCAAGGCTCATAACTTTCCTGAGCCTCATTTCCTGATTTGTAAAATAAGCTTTGGATGAGATGGTCTTTAAGGTTCTATCTATTTTAAAGTCTGTGTGTCTATTAATTTTACACAGATATTGCTTCTAATGTACTTATTTCTAATCATAGTAGGCTGAGTATTGACTTTACTTTTATTACATTTCTCAGTTCATGAGCTAAAAGCCCTACCACCAAGTGTTTATTTTTATGTAAGTAAGTAGTTTCCCATTTTTTCTTTTCTGTAGTTAAACTTTTTAAAGTTAAGCTGTGTATTCCATGGTAGTCCGACAAACCTAGTCTGTCTCCTTATTCACATAATTTCTAAAGAATAAGTATTTGAAGACCTCCTAGTAATTTTTTAAAATGTTGTTTGTTAATGTATAATCTACTTTCTATGGATTCAGAATTGGGAAACTTTCTATTGAATACCTATATAGAATTGGAATGTTTTTTAAATGTTTAAGACTTACCACGAATTATAAAGTACCAGGGATCTTTCTTTTGGTTTCTAGTTCCCTGTATATTTTTTCTCAGCAATGATTCATTCATTTGAACCTCAGCTCTGTTCATTTAATTTTACTAATTATTACAGATAATATCCTAAAACATGAACATTTGTGTTCATGTAAAACCTAGATTGCAGTTTGGCCTCTCAGATCATCAGGTAAAATCATAGACATCTTTCTGTCTCATTAACATTCCTTGGGTCTTAATTTTGATTAATGTCATTTTTATTTGAAGTCTATTCTATACTGCTACTCTTTTTATGTTATTATCTATATTCCCAAACTTCTTTAGTGATTGAACTGGTTGTTTTACTTATTATATTTTTACCACTAATAAACTAATCCAGTGTGGTAGAGTTACAATGCTGGCATGGAATAAGGGAAAGGAAAAAGAAAAAGATTCTGGATTAGAGATTATCAGGAAATAGGATAAGGAAATGACCAATTTGATCTGTGCCATAACTATATCCAAAGAGAAGTCACTCTTGCCTAGATTCTTTTCCATGTACCCCTTTCCACATACATTTTAAGTTTTTGAGATATCAAATAGGAGTTTGATGAGGTTTGAAACAGTGAAGGAGTATGAGATGATTGGTGGTTTTTTCAAAATGTACACTGGGTTTCTGGGAAGGATTCCTATCTACAGAGAGGTCTGGATAGGTTCTGGTGCTAAAGGGACCTATGTCATAGTGATTATTTGACATAGTATTCACTACTCCTAGGTGGTTGAGAATTGACTCTGTGTTGTTAGTATTGGTGTTTCGAGCTGCCTTCCCATAAGTCATTTTTGTAGTATATTGCTGTTTTAAATTTTTAAACTTTCCCTTCTGTTTTGATTTGGGTAAGAAATATACGTGTATGTATAAAAACTGTATAATAATGTATAAATTGTATCATTGAATCTTTAGGTATTTTTATAAGGAGAATGCTACCTTTTAAATCTATTTCTGGTACCTGTTTTAGTAGGCTCTTTAGCAAAAGTTCTGAGTAAAGTTATCTTGAAATGTTTGTTTCCTTATGCATAGATTCGATGTTACAGAGTCCCAGATCATAATTATAATATGCCAGCTTCTCACAGGAATCCTGGGGCCTTGGTTCTGGAACTTTACGGTAACTGCTAGAATATTCATGCTGTCTGGTGAACAATGGTGTGAACTCAATAAAGACAGCACCTTTGTCATGCACAGAGTAATTAAAAAATGAAAAATCAAAAGTCTTCCTGTTGGTATTTCACAGACAAACAGGTTATTAGAAAACAAATAATATATAATAGGGCAATAAAAATCCACCCTATTAAACAAAATTTTTTGAAAAGTAATATTTCTGGTGATTTGATGCTAAAGCCAATTCTCTCTTCCATTTGTCTATTATGCCTAATATTATTTTTACCCTACATAATATTTTTTTTAAAACAAATACCTTTCCACCATTAGAATTTTTTTTGATATTCCTATTTTGAAAGCAGAATAAAACAAGCAGAGTTTGTCTTAGATGAGTTGAGAGAACCCCTTTATATTGATGTAGGAAAGATTCTGCTTATTCTGTAACTTCTTTAGCATATCCTTTAAGCATCTAGTACTAGTTCTTCTGCTTGTATTTATAGTGTTTTGGTGTTTAAAAATATACAACATGCTCTTCTCATTTCTGTTTGTTTTGTTGAATGTTTTTCTCTCTTGTGCTTTTAAAACTAAATATCCTTAGCTTTTCATGTCACTTTAATCAGCCTTTAAATATCTTCCTTTTCCTTTCTAGTAATTACATATTTCTGTAATGTAGTGCCAAGTATAATTTATATTGGAATTGGACTATTTTATCTTAAGGCTTTTTAAAATGTAGACAGTATTTATTAGGAAATGTTTTCCCAGTAGGATAATCTAGAATCCTTCACATTTTAGCATAAGAAAAAACAGAGCTTAAATTCCTTTGATTTTGCAGTTCAGGGAATGTTAGAGAATTGTTCATTTGAAAACCTGAAAGACCATTACATCAATGCAAGGCTGCATTAGGTTTTCTACATTAGGTTCCCCTGCCACAAAAAAGAATTGTAAACGCTTTAATATTGCTTCAGTAACGTAGAAATAGTAAATCCCTTGTTAGCAGAGTTCTTTCTGAAAGGTATATTGCAGTGTTGTAAATCCAGTTATTCAGTGGCAGTAATGATGGCTTTAGGGACAAATTAAAAGTGAGAAATTGTCTACTTCTTTCTCAAAATAACCTTGGAATGAGAAGAATACACTTGTCCCTCTGTATCTATGGGAAGAGTTAAGATCTCCAGTGGATACCGGAGTCCGCAGATATTCAAGTTTCTGATCTAATATGGAGTAGTAGTTACTTATGCACATCCTCCTGTATACTTTAAATGATTCTAGATGACTTATAATACCTAATACAGTGTAAATGCTATGTAAACAGGTGTTGTGTTGTTTAAGGAATAGTGACAAGAATAAAAGTCTGGACATGCTCAGTATAGATGCTGTTTTTAAAAAAAATCTTTTCAATTCATAGTTGGTTAAATACATGAGTGTATAATCCACAGATACAGAGGGATGGCTATACTGAGAACTACTATAGACTTGTTCCAGGAGCAAAACTAAAGCCATTTTTCTTTTGAATTTGCAATGTATTTGTATAATTATTTGTAAGATTCACTCCTGAAGTGGAATAATGTGCTAGTTCAGCTGTGTCTTTAGACTTTCTTTACCCTTATCCTGTCTTCTGGTACTTTCTCCAAAGCCCTGTAGCTTTATGCTCATTGACATTGTCTAGATTCATAATTTTTGATAGCTCATTTTTTAATATTGTTGGTTATTCTCACCAAAAGTCTTTTCAAAATGTTCTTACTGAAATTAACCGTCAGTATATGGACTGTATTTACTTTCACCTTGTCTGTGATAACAAAGTACCCCGTATTTATAGAGCCCTTTCTATTAAAATGTTTCTGCAAACTAATGCATTTTAACATCATAAATAATGTTTTCAAAATATGTTGTTTTCTCCAGATAGACTGTGTCTTTACTTTTACTTGTTGCTAATTTTCAGATTTTCTTTTGCTTTTAATATCTGTTGCTTTAACTGTTTTGATCATTGAAGTAAGATTGTCAGATATACCCCCCTTTCTAACAAATTTGGGGGGAAAAGCTTCAGAAAAAGTTGTTCCTACTAATTTGTTTCTAAATGAATTAAACGTATTAGCATCTAAACTTTCTATAAGCTACTGCCTTTATATTCTAGAATTTTTTTAAAATTGCATTAGATACAGAAGCATCATCCTGAAATGTATAGCCATCTCATCAACCTAGCCTTCTATACTTAGGATAAACATTTACCCCAGTTGATTGACAGACTGAAAATTAAAAGAGTTTTAGCATTGCATAAGAACACTCCCAATTTCTTTTCAAGACTCTGCCTCTTATTTTCTCTATAACCTTGAAAAATAACGTATCACTTAACCTTTCTAAACTTCTTTATCTATGAAGATAAAGGGTAGCTTTATCTAGGGTAGCTGTGAAGATTAAAAGGGTTAAAAATGTGCTTGTCATATCCTAGGTCTTCGTTATTATTATATTAATTGTAAGACTTGTACTAGTAGCTCCTTATAGTTTCCAGATTTCTTCTGGAATTGATTGTGCTAGAGGAATAGAATAAGCCCATGATTCCTTTATTTAGCTCAAAGATTGTGAGAGTACTCTCTGTTCTTTTGTTTTCAAAGGTAATAAAGATTTCAAATGAATTTACAATGTATTTGTATAATTATGTGTGAGATTCTCTCCTAGGGTAGAATAATGTGCATAGTTCAGTCTGTGTCTTTAGCCTTTCTTTACGCTTACCTTGTCTTCTGGTCTTTTTCCAAAGACCTGAAGCTTTATATCCATTGACATTAAATGAGCCACCCCTTAAATGTGAGACCCGTACTCGAATTCCTCATATGTTAAAGGACTTGTTCTATTCTAGCCTTTGGCTATATTTTTCTCCTCTTAATGAAAGTCATTGAATGGGCTTTTTCTTTTTAGTCTTCTCAGATAACCTGAAGATCTATATAGTCATTCATGTAATGACTATACAGATAATAGTTTTCAATAATTAAGCTTATTTTTAAAATGTAGAGTTATCTTCCTTGTATATAACACTTGAATTAAAAATACCACTCAGCCATATGGTTGATGTTATTTAACAGTAGCGTAAGCTTGTCGTGCCCAGTTTGCCCCTTGTCAAGGATAGAAAGTAAAATATTAGAAAGCAGTGTATTGAATTTCTAGACGAATCTTTACTTCAGTTAACCACATTTCACCCATGGTATTTCTGGGAAAGTCTATAATGAATGCCATGCTCTGGTAATCTATAGTTACTTAGAGCTCCAGATGTATTTACAAGTAATTACAAATCTATAATTAATAGCAATCTAATCCTTGAACAGGATTCTAGACATCTTAAAACAGGTGACTTTTTAAACAAAATGCTTCTCTTTAACGATACTTCATGAATCAAATTGTACAAATCCAGGGAATCTTTGACATAATGAATTTATGTCTAGACATAGCCTATGTTACCAAACTAACAGCCAACCCAAATTATAGCATAATTATATTTACTATTTATAGTTTAACAAAAATACTTATGCTTACAAATTAACTGCAAGTATATCTTTGAAATGCGTATATCACATGTAGAAGAAAAATAGATTGTCTTATTTCTGATTTTAGAGGGGAAAGACACATTAAAAATTCTGGAGGAAGATGATTATCAGCTTTCACAGAATGTCATTTAAATCCATTCACATCCCTCAATACTGAGTACTGGAATTCAAACCAAATGCATTTGTTAGGTATCTCTGTGAACACTGAGAAACAAAAATGAAACTTTGAAAATAGAAATTTTTCATAGTTAGCTAACTTAGATAATTTGGAGTTGTTATATCCCCTTTGTCACTTTTAAAAGTTATTTTGTGCTTCTGGTATAATAAATACCCTGATCAGGGCATTTTCTAAGCTTCCTTTTTGGGGTGGTGAAGGTCACTCAAGAGCCTCATTTCAGTTAAAGAGATTCTCTGTTCGTTCCCTTGTTTAAAAGTTGAAATTACTCATATTCATTGGGATACCTTGTTCTCTCTATCTCTTAATCCGTAGACCATTAGGGTATTGTAAGGAATTACTATCCAAAGTTTCTTTATAGGTGTTGAAGGTTATGTTGACGTTGGCCTGCCACACTTAACAGCTTCCCGCTTTCCCATCAGAAGAATGGGAAAACTTAGGCTCCACAGCTTATTTGCTTCTTTCCATTTTTCTTTTGTGACAGTCATCAAAACAATATTTGTTTCTGGTTTTTCGTAGTAATTTATGAAGAGACTATTTATTGTGAGTTATCCACAGCAATTGGGGGAATTTTTTGTCCCGTGACAAACTATTAAAGTAGAAATAGGAAATTACTTTAAAGCAACATCAGTCAAGATGTTCAAATACCTTCGTGGTTACAGAAAATTAGTATCATCTAATTTTCTCCCTCTGAAACTTTAGGCTGTAGAAACCTAATGCTGCTGATAAGAGATTTGTTTTCTTATGTTTTGTTTTGTTTTTTTAAAAGCACTGTGTTTTGAGTGTTCTTCTACCACAAACCCCTTGTGTCTTGAAGAGCTTTTGTCAGGGA